ATTGAGAGATTTCGATTGAAAGGAAAATTAATTGACAAGAAGTTTACACTTGAATATTTGAGAAATTTGATTACTATAAGTTCGAAAACGTCAATTCCCGTCAAATAAATTGCGTGAATTTTAGTTACGTTGAACGTTTACCATCATGTCAAACAGTGTCTTTTAAGCGTTAACAGTTCTATGCCGTAATTATCCCGTAAATTTCTATAAAAGCTCAAGAATTTCAATTTCAACCACTTCATAAGTAGGGCATCAAAATTTTCTAACATAAACTTTTGAATTTCCGGTCATTTTGTTAAACAAAAAATATAAAATGCTCATACTTAGTATTTGTAAATTTTTTGTTTTTATTTTAGAGTATTACCAGAACATATCAAATTATAAATATTTCAAGAAAGTGAAATTTTAAAAGTTTAAAATAAAAAGTTTTAATTTTTTTTTTTGTTATTTGAGATTTCATTTTGTTTCGTTTGCTTTCAACTGAATAGAAAGAATCTGGCGAAGTTTAAATGTGTAGGTAGGCAGTTGAAATGTGCGGTTTACTTAATTCTAACCTAAAAATTAGATTTTTAAATTAACTTCATAAAAGAAAAATAAATTTTAGTTAGAAGAAGTTTTTGAACAACATTTTCTTATGATCATTTTAAATTACTTAAAACTTTGTTTTTTGTTAAATTTTTTTTTTCTAAATCATAATTTTTACTAACAATATCGCATTTCTTATCGTAATTTCCTTCTCTTAATTCCGAACATAAGAACGAATTGAAGTTAACGAGGGGTGAACTTTTTCGTATTATTTCTATGCCCTTCTAGAATTTTTTTTCATTCAATTTACGTTTTCTTTTGTCTTTTCTGTTTCTTCACTAACACAATTATAATTTCAAATCCACTTTTGTATTCTTAATATGGTTTGTTGTCCTTGAATTGTTTGAGTTTTAATGGCGTATGCAAATTTAACTTATATAATAATATTTAACAAATATTTTGTCGTATAAAATGGAATTTGTAACGGAAGAAAAATTATAAAAGAAACATAGAAAAGTTGAAAGTTCTGTTGTCTTTTTAAAAGAATCAACAATAACCGAATGAAGCAATTCGAAGCATGCTATAGAGTAGCACTCGGAATACGGCATATAAAATTGAAATATAGAACAAACAGAGAAAATCTAAGAGAAATAACAAAAAAAAATCTAATTATAATTTAGAAGTCTTACTTCTGTTATACATTTTATTCTTAAAATGTTTATTTAATTTTAGCTACGTTTTAAAAAGAAAGAAATTTAAACGAGTTAAAAAGATTTTTAAAATAAAAACAAAACTCTTATACACATACATATAATAATTAATATGAAAGAAAAAGAATTAATAAAGAATTAATTGAGCGCGAAAAGAAGAGATTTTGAATTTGGTTTTTTAAACTTTAAATACAGAGAAAGTATTTAAAATGAATTTCAATTAGAAAATTGAGGAGAGAGGCAATGTTGGCTCTTCTTATTTAAAAAATTGTGGTTATATATGAAGGGTTATAATTTATCATATTATTTTTAAATGGAAGAAATAATTTATAAACAAATCGGTGATACGGGAACTCACCAGAATAACTCACTAATAATTCATACTGTTTGTATTGTGAGGGTAAATAAAATATTTTTTTTTATTTATTATATAAATATAAATTAGAATTAAAAAAAATATGAATAAAAAAATTGCGTCTGCGAAATTATGATCTTGTAATTGTGTGTAAGAAAGTGATAGTAAAATTAATTTGGTTTATGCATCGTGAAGTTAAATATGAAATGGGGATTATTTTAAATATTACTAATATACTATTAAGAATTATAAGATCTTTAAATGCGTGTTCTGTCTAAATTAAGCGAAAATATTTAAAAACTTAATCAAGAAATATATGGTAGTATTCTAGTTTATATAGCAGCAGAGTTAATATTCAAGCGAATATTTGAGAATTTTGTAGTTTATAGTACCCTTCATATTGTGAATGAACCGCATTATACAAATATTTCTGCCTAAATACGTTTTCTGGCTAAACACTACTATCTGTTAGTAAGTTTCTGGCTCATAGCAGAAAATAAGGGGTTTTTACGTGAATATAGAGAAATTTAATTAAAAAATCTCTAGTATCCTTATTATGTAAAAGAATTACATTATACGATAATTTCTGGCTAAACACGTTTTCTGACTAAACACATTTTCGGGCTAAACACTCTTTCGGGCTAAATACAATTTCTAACAAAGCTGGCTTTTCTGTCTTATAGAAATAGTTAAAAGATTTTAGACAGAAAAAGACAGTGTATAGGTGCGTATTTTAAAATAGACCTGTAAAAATACACAGAGAATTTAGATGTTCGAACGTGATCCTGTTGACAATTGTACTTGCTTATAGATTTCGGTACCTTCTTCGTGAATCATTAAGAGATGCGATATAAAAATTAAATTGTTTATTACATAAAGTTAAAAACTTTCCAAAAATTCACATGTTCTTAAAATATTTTCTTAATACAATTGTGACTTTTTCAAAATGAAAATCAATTATATTGTTATTCACAATAATGTGCATTTATAACGCTATTCTTATCTTGTTTATAGAAAAAAATAAAATATTTTCGACTCTTTTTTATTGTTTTGAATTTAAAAAAAAATTTTTTTTTTGGCAAAGTTTTCTATTTTATCTGTTATAATGGAGTTTGTTAGAAAAAAAAAATTTATAGAAGCAGCATTCCTTTATCTCTTTTAATGTATTGGTTTTTGGGTTTTTTTTTTTGTTTCCATTTTTTTTTATGTCTGAATTAAATTGAAATTTTGGGGTCAAAATTGTGGGGGTTCTAACTTAACATTGAGATCATTGAACTTTTCCTTTTTATTATACAATCCTCTAAATGAAAATATCAAAATTGTAAAAATTTTACTAAAAAAGGGGGAGTGCATAATTTTTCTCTCCTTCTCCAGAAAAAAAAAAAACGAATTTGTATAAAGCGTGCAAAATTATATGTACGTTGTTGTTCTTATAAAAAGATTAATTTTATTTTGTTTCTCTTAATTTACTTATATATATACTGTTATATTTTAGTATAGTTTTTTTTAGGAAAAATGTCATATAGACAAAAAAAAATTTTGATTTCTTGATTGTCATCTTGATTGTCACTTGCGGTTTGATAAAAATAATAATGCATTTGGAATATTGTGATAATAAAAGCAATAAAAATAGTTGAATTTCAGATAAGATGTTAAAAATTTTGTATGGCGTTATCCTTACCACCTGTAAGAAATAATATTAAATTTGACAATAATAATAAATTACAAGTTACGGCCCACAATATTTTACTATTTTCTCAAATAAAATTATTAAGTAATAGCGGCGATAATTGCATTGTGAATAATGTATAATAAAAATGTTAAGGGACAAAGTTAATTCAAATTTTCGTAGGAATTGGAAAAGCTACGGGTGTACGTTTGCATTGGAAATCACAATTATATAGCAAATACAAATAAAGTAGGGATGGTATGAAATGTTCTCTTCGTAATTCACAATTGAACGCTTAAATACAAAATTATTTTTAAAGTTCAATATCATAAAAATTTCATTATGCAAAGAAACAATTTTATTTTGTTAAATTTTAAATCTATTGAAAATTGAAAATTTCTTTTATCCCGATCACAAATAATCTATGATAATTTCATTATAATGGAAAAGAAATGAAAAATAAAAAATTCCTTTATTTTAATTAAGAGTCTATGCATAGAAGCAAAGCTTTTTAAAACTTTTGATTGATTTCAATAATTTTTTTCTTCGCTTCTTTCATTTCTTTTCAAGTTAATTAGAAAAAACTTTTAAGGGTCTTATTTCTTTTAAAAAATCAAAAAAAAAAAAAACATAAAAACAGAAACCGAAATGGCAAGGGAGGAGTAAAAAAAAAAATATAGAATCCTGATTATGATTAATTGATGTTTTTATCTTGATCTATTCATTATCCTTTACCTCGTATCCTCATTTCACATTTACAATAATTCTCATTATATGTCTACATTCTAACATTCTACACACTAAGTATAACGTTATTCATTAAAAATAATATTAATAATTTCTTTTTTTTTTTCTATTTTTTTTTTCTCACATAATAATTACAAAAATATCTCTAATCTAATTATTGTTTTTCATATACGTAATTTGTATTTGTGTAATTAGAAATATTGTTATATGAAATTAAAAGAAAATTAAGATTATTGTATTATATTGCCTATTTATAGGAGAAAATTTAACATAAATGTAGGAGAACATTGAACATATACCAAATGTCGAAGAATTAATATTACTATGCATGGAATTTATTGTTTTGGATTTCTATCTGGAATTTACAATAAATTTCATACAAAATATCAGAGGGATGTTGTATATTACTCGGAGTTTTTTATGATCAATGGTTCATTATCATAATAGTATATTATTTAACTTGAGTTTTTTGAAGGCGGCCGGAATTAGAACTTTAAAAAGTCGAATTCTGTCGAGCAGATTACAGAAGGTGTATGGACTTATTACGGCGAGAATATAAGATATAGTTTACGAGTACAATTTGGGTTTTGAGAAAAGCTACTTTTAAGAAAATGAACAGCCGAATTTCGAATTCGACTCATAAAATTTATTATATTTTAATCAAGCACTCATAAATTCTTGTATAACACTTTGCGTTCTCCAAAAAGCTTTTTATAACTGGCCACCTGTAATCATACGCTCAATGATGGCCTTGGTGGTCGTGGGGTGGTTATAATAAAATGGCATATTACTCCTTGGAGTGCGGTGGACTTGTTGCAACCAACCATACCACTTTCGAATTAAATGTCAAAAAAATCTGTTATATTATAATCGATTTAAAATCTATTTTCTTTAATATTATAAACATAGATTAATACTAATATAACGCTTAAGAAAATTGTAATACAAATTCAAAAAAAAAATAATAAATTTTAGTTTTTTTTTTTACTTTCAGGTTTACTCCGAATTTATCTTATTTGGAAAATCAATATGTATAAGAAAAAATTTATTGGATAGCTTGTAAAAAAGAAATCATGAAAATAATTTTGAAGAAGTTTATACCATAAAATACGGTAAATTTATAATATTTGTACATATATTTTGTTATACATATAAAATTTCAAAATTTAGGAATGCCGGCAGTAATATAATAGCAAACAGTATTTCAGAAATTACAATATATAAAGTTTCTTTAGTTGTTTTTATTGAAATTTTTACTGCTGACTAAGTGGAAAACTTAGAAGTAAAAATTTTCAGTTGTTTTCAGTTTTTCTTTATTGTACTAAAAACCCAATTTATTATCTTTCAATATATATGTATGTAGAAGAAATACAGAGTATTTGTTAGAATAATTTACTTTTCTCTCTTTTATTATTTTAGGGGGGAGGGCTTTAGTTTTTCAAGATTACTTCTTGTATACGTTCGTTCGTGTAATGGAATTAATATATACCAAAAATTTAAGAGGAAAAAAACAAAAAAAAAAAAACAAGAATTAATTCCAAAATTACTTTTTAAATATTTTAGTTGTATAACATTATTTTAGGCTCGTATATAAGAAAACAAAAAAGAAAAGAATCTATAAAAAAGGATTTTTTATATAATTTTCATTTAGTAATTTATATTATAATGTTTACAGGATATTTTCTCTCTGTACTTTATGTTTATTTTGCTTAAAACGCAATTAAGAAAGAAAAATTAAATATATATTACATAAGTATGTGGATATATATACATATATATATAATATATATTATATATATACTTGAATATATATGTACAAGGATATTTATAGTACATTATAATGTTAAACGCTTTAAATTACAACCACATATCTGATGTTGAATTGAAAAAAGTTATTTTAAAATGAGGTTTTGGGGAAAAAAATTTGTATATATTTAATGGCTGACGGTCACTGACATTGGAATTGACACAAAACTTTATCACTACACAATTCAGCAATAAGATCTTATAAGCTGAATTGCGTAATAGCTGATTTATAAGTGGAGAATCACCAATTGGGTATTAAATATTTCTATACACAATTCAGCTTATACGTTCTAATTGCTGAATTGTGTGGTTGAAAGTATTATTGCGATTTCGGACGTTTACGCTTAATTTTCTTAATTTGAATTTTTAATTAAGACAATGTGAGAACATCGGAGACTTAAGGTCCAGATTACATCAAGAAATTCAATTAATATATTATTTAATAAGTAGAATTAATATATTATTTAATAAGTATATTTCATCCGAATATATCTTGCCTTCAAAACTGTAGCGGTAGTGTCTTTGGTACAATTCAGCAAGTACTACACATAAGGTGAATTATGTATTAATACCTTATTACAGCATATTTTATGGCAAGTGTATTATTTTTTTTCTATTTTGTACACCATTAAAGTTATTATTGAAAGTAATTTTATTTGAGGTTAAATTATTATAATTACACACATAATGTATGAACATAAAATGTTTAAATATAATGAATATGTATATATATATATTTATATACATGTATGTGTGTGTTATTGTAAAGTATATGTAAAATTGATTGAAATTGCGAAAATATTTTATTTCAATTTCCTATTGATTTTATTTACTTTTTCGGAATGTGCGGTAGTATGAAGAGAAAGAGGGATTCTATTATATTTATGTTTTGCGGATATATTCAATATATATGTATATATGTATGTATAAGAAAAGGATTTCTTAACGTCAAAATATATTAAATGAAATAAAAACTGTATACAATGGTGTTTTTGGTTTTTTTTTTCTATTAAAAATATTGGGAAACCTTGAGAAAATTAAACTTGAATGAAATAAGAAAATATAATATGCATATAATATGTAAGTTAGTATGTATATGCATTTGTATACAAAGTTATAGAGGAAAATAATGAAATAAAATCATAGATAAGGGTTCTTAAATTAATATGGAGGAAAATATTTGTAGGGTACCAATATATACGCATATTCAATTGTTTAGATACGAACAAATATAAAGAATTGAAATTTATGGCTTAGAATTTCATTATTTTAATGCAAGTTATTGTGTACGCAGTATATTGTACTCTTACTCCTATTCTAAATTTATATATATATTTTGGCTTTGTACCTACATATACAATTAAAAGTAATTGAATATTGATGAATCCTTGAATATTAATTTTCCATTTTTTTTTTGTTTCATATGTTCTATAAGTGTGCTGAATTCAGTTGGAGTGATTTTTAATTCAATTTACACAAAGAATTAAGTTCAACTTTTAAATTAATATTTAATATAAGTGGTTTGATTATTGTTAATTTCAAGTTTCCCTATAAGATTACTAAATAATCTTGAATGATATTTGAAAGAATTTATGCTGTATAATGAATTCTATTTATAGAAATTTTAAAAAAACCCGGTAAACTTAATATTCGCCAACTATAAAATTTTTATTGTTTCGGAACCCGGTGAGAATTACTGAATACGAAGATAATACCTTAATCTGGTCAGCAATGCTCAAGCTCTCAATTTCAAAATATTATTAACATTGATTCAAAAAAAACGGACAGCTTGAGCCTTATATAGAGAATTTAGGAGGTGCAATGTTGAGCTCACGAAAATACTTTATATTTTGTTAATCTTCTCCGTATATCTGACTTAATTTTCAATAACTTAAAGAGATTATTATTGGCTTTAAATTACATTAATAATTTCCTTAATATTTCATAAGTTTTTAAGGATATTGCCATAAACTTAAAATCATAAATTTCAAGACTACCACGGGACACAATTCTAAAAACACATTATAGAATATTTAATAATTTTTATATATAGTTTAAATACACTTTTCATTCATCTCTTATACACACTATTCGGTCCTTGTATTCGCTTGATTTTTCTCATTTCCGCAATTTATCTTTTTCAAGGTGAATTAAGATCACCGCACCTTGTATTTAAAAACTGAAAGAATGAAATAAAAGAAAAATTTTTCCTTGAAATAAAAAAAATAATTGTTTACTTTTTATACTTGGTTCATTTTTAGTTTCCACTTCATTCTGTGTCACTTAAAATTAACTATCGGTGTGTGTATGTGCATGTTTATGTTTCCCTTACATAAAATATAAAAATTATGAAAATTCTTATAAAAATATGAAGGTAAAATTTTTATAGTTGTCACCTTTACTTTTTTGTATATAAGGTTTAGAAATTTGTAAAAAAAAAAAAAAAATTGTTTACTTACTTCCTTTTGGGTGATTCTTGGAACCAAAATGAATTTTTCATTCACTTACTTTTCTTTTATCATTAAACAGTATCTGGTTATCCGGAGAGTGCTTACTATCTATACAACATTGCGGCAAGACTTGGCTCATGGCGAAACCGTAGAAAGTTTTTTTATTTTACGTCCTCATTCTGTCTTTTACTTTCTTTCCGAACTGTTCGCCAAATGATTTTAAAAGAGAATGCCTGCCTTATGAAGGAGAAACTACTCCTCCATACCGAAAGCCCGCCTATGGATTCATTATCCAAATAAATGTGTTGCCATGCATCCACTACAGATTTGATTGTGTCTATCAAGTTTCATAAATCAGTCAAGACAGTTTATGAATCAAGAATATTCCGAGTTAATCTGAGTTTGCTTTGAATAACATGAAGTTATTTCATTTAAGAATTTAAAAAATTTAAAATACCCTGCAGTACAATTTATTTTTATTCACCACGATTACAGAATTACCCATTAAACATTACTTATTTCTAGAAAATTAAAAAAAAAAGGAAATTTTTTTTTTTCAACTTCAAAAGCAGAAGGAAATACAAAGTACAAAATTTTTTAAATGGGGATTTTAAATAAAGGCTTTTGCAATTATATCCCCCCCCCCCACTTTTCTTTATACATTGAATAGTATGCATTTGTGTGTGTAAATTTATAGATTTATATGGAATAATATTGGAGTTTAAAATATAAGATTCGCATTATTAGAGAATGGCAGCAATAAAATCATAATGTACTCTTTCTATAGATAAAATATTTCAAAAGTGATGATATCATCATTATTAAAACTATATTTATGTTGGAAAAGGATATAGTGTTGTGTACTGTACTAGATATTGAGGTATGATGTTAAAGTTCAATAGAGACCGTATATTCTCAAAATTTTATAGCAGAATTTACGATGCCACTCATATATAGTAATAGCGGATATTGAAATATTGAGTATAAATGGTAGCTTAATAATGTTAAGCAAGAGAGAAAATGTTGACTTTTCTCATTTTGTTTTGGTTATATCTTATGGAGTTTGATTATTTTATGATTTTTGTGGAATTAATAGTGTTCACCGTTCCATGTAATTTTAATAGTGATTCAGTTATTTAAATTGGCCTTTAGAATTTATAATGTAAATTAAATAGAAAAATATTATTTTAAATTTATCTTAGAAAATTTTGAGTGAAGTAGTTGGTTGTTTACACTGTGCTAATTATGGTGTTCTAAATCTTACTAACACAAGAATATTCCTTATAATACATGCCCGTATGTATGTATGTATAACAGATTTTTTTCCCATTTGCTTTTTGAACTAAATTTTATTTTATAAAATGTCACAAATGAAAACATTTTTCTCAGAAACTTTAACACTAAATTGTCATCTTTGATAAATGTCTTGTATTTAACAATGGCGGTTACGTATTAAAATTTATTGTCATAAATGACATAAAGTGCTAGACGATCATAAAATTTTTCTAAAGAAATATTTTTTATATCAAGTGAAGTTTAATGTTCTCGACCAAAGAATTTTTTTATATTTTGTCTACCCTATAAATTTTGATCTTCCAGTTATTTTCAGTGTTAAACTTTTACATTTATTGTTATTGGTAGTAAACGCAGGTACATCTAGTACTCTAGTACGCGGGCCTCCTTAAGACCAAAATTCGATTTCCAAAATATGATTATCAAGATTCTAATCGCTACTCCGATTAAATAAATTTCAATCAATTCACGCTCCCTATAGCTCAATTGCTGTTTAGTTTATTAAGTATTTTAAAATTTACATTTATTAAAATTAATAATTTGCCAAACATTGCCACACAATA